TAGCATGTAGGCGCCCTTAGTCACGAAAAGAATGAGCAACACCAGAATACCGAATACCACAGACTGAAGTAGGCAAAGGTGGGCTATCAAATAAACAGCGAAAGACTTAAAGTTCACCCACTATTCACTCCTTTCGAAATGTTTCACCTCGGTGACAGCTCCCCAGCTTTTCATAGGCGATGGATAGTCATAACTGCAGATCAACGCCTGCGTTTAACAACACGTGGAGGCCTGTGAAGATACAAGGCTGAATGTTGGAGTGGGTGTTACAGAATTATTTATTTTTAATCTCGACTTTTAGCCACATCATGGGAGTACGAGCTGCAGTTTTCAGAAACACTGGCCCTCGTTGGGACTTTTCTGAAAGTCTGAGTGTGTGTCAGCATCTGACTGCAGCAAGCGCTGATATTCGCGCTCCGCCGCCAGGCTGTCCGGAGGCTGTCTGTGTGAACGGCTAAAGCCCAATAAAAGAATTGACAAACTCGCTACTCTTCAAATCAACAAAACCAAGTCTGTATCCCTCGCTGTCTGTTTTCACATGTTCAGTTTTCAAACCTCATGTTTCTCCTCTCGCTCGCCCTCTCTTTCTCAATGACCATGGAGGCTTGTTTGCCATATACTTGGAAGTGGCATGGAAATTTTTACTGTGGTAAAACTTGAAAGGAGGCTAAATTACATTTTATTATCCTTACCAGATTTTTAAACTATACAGGATGAAAAAAAGACCAAAGAGGACTTCCCACTGGAGCATGGCCATTAATTTAGGATGGAATATATTATAACCTTTTTACTCAGTATAGGAATTAGTGTGCACTAAGCCTGAAGTATGCAAAGTCAGATAGATAGACAGACAGACAGACACATAGTTATGCTTTAATTTTACCTTTCCTTTGATGTGTAAAGAATAAGAAATTATTTTTTTGAACAATAAATGATGTAAACCAGTAGACAACCTGAACAAAATTATGGACCTGTAAATGAGCATAATAGGGCACTTTAAAAACACTAATAATTTAATAGGCCTAACACTTAACTGTACTCTTTAGCAAATCTCAAAATGATTATCTATTTTTCATACTGTAAATAATAATGTTCATAGGCGAAACGTGTGTAAGGCTGGGGGAAGGCTTAGCCTTCCCCTGGCCACGGGGACTTGGGGCAAAAATGCCACTAAATTGGACAAAAATGCTCCTGCACAAACAAATTAAATCTATTATGTCTGTTGCTAACAAAGTGAATATGAATAGACAGTGTTGATTGCGACATTAAATTAAGATCTGCTCATGTTGCACCGTATTTCATTTTAGGAGTTTTTACAGTGTTGCACATTTTAACCAATCACACACAATATTTGTGTTTTATTAACAAGGTTCGGGAGGAGCACGATCAGATAATCAACCAATTTGGCACAGGTGTAACTCGTTTAGCTAACCATCCTAGCTAGCACAATACGTATATGTATATGTATATATATATATATATATATATATAT